GCTGTATCACTATTGACGCTGTGCTGTATCACTGCTTGCATTGTGCTGTATCACTGCTTGGATTGTGCTGTATCACTGCTGTATCACAGCTGACACTGTCCTGCATCACTGCTGACACTGTCCTGTATCACCGCTGACACTGTGCTTTGTAACTGCTGACACTTCTCTGTCACTACTGAAACTGTACTGTATAACTGCTGACACTGTGCTGCATCACTGCTGACACTGTCCTGTATCACTGTTGACACTGCTCTGTCACTGTTGACTCTGTGCTGTATCACTGCTGATACTGTGCTGCATCACTGCTGACACTGTGCCCTACCACTGCTGACACTGCTGTATCACTGTTGACACTGCTCTGTCACTGTTGACTCTGTGCTGTATCACTGCTGACACTGTGCTGTATCACTGCTGACACTGCTGCATCACTACTGACACTGTCCTGTATTACTGCTGACACTGTACCGTATCACTGCTGACCTTGTGCTATATCACTACTGAAACCGTGATGTATCACTGCTGATAATGTGCTGTATCTCTGCTGACACTGTTCTGTATCTCTGCTGACACTGTTCTGTATCACTGCTGACACTGTTCTGTATCTCTGCTGACACTGTTCTGTATCACTGCTGACACTGTTCTGTATTACTGCTGACACTGTACTGTATCACTGCTTACCTTGTGCTAAATCACTACTGACACTGCGATGTATCACTGCTGATAATGTGCTGTATCACTGTTGACACTGCTGACATTGTGCTGTATCACTGCTAAAAATGTGCTGTATCACTGCTAAAACTGTGCTATATCACCGCTGACACTGCTCTGTATCACTGTTGACATTGTGCTGTATCACCGCTGACACTGTGGTGTATCAATGCTAAACAGATGCTGTATCACTGCTGACACTGCTGTGTCACTGCTAGAACTGTGCTGTATCACTGCTGAAACTGTGCTATATCTCTGCTTACACTGTGCTGTAGTATTGCTGACACTGCTTTTATCACTGCTGATACTGTGCTGTATCACTGCTGACACTGCTGTATCACTGTTGTCACTGCTGTATCACTGCTAACACTGAGCTGTATCACTGCTGATATTGTGCTGTATCTCTGCTGACACTGCTGTATCACTGCTGACACAGTGCTGTATCATTGCTAACACTGTGCTGTATCACTGCTGTATCACTGCTGACACAGTGCTGTATCATTGCTAACACTGTGCTGTATCTGCTGACACTGCTGCATCACTGCTGACACAGTGCTGTATCATTGCTAACACTGTGCTGTATCTCTGCTGACACTGCTGCATCACTGCTGACACAGTGCTGTATCATTGCTAACACTGTGCTGTATCTCTGCTGACACTGCTGCATCACTGCTGACACAGTGCTGTATCATTGCTAACACTGTGCTGTATCACTGCTGACACTGCTGTATCACTGCTGACACAGTGCTGTATCATTGCTAACACTGTGCTGTATCTCTGCTGACACTGCTGCATCACTGCTGACACAGTGCTGTATCATTGCTAACACTGTGCTGTATCTCTGCTGACACTGCTGCATCACTGCTGACACAGTGCTGTATCATTGCTAACACTGTGCTGTATCACTGCTGACACTGATGTATCACTGCTGACAATGTTCTGTATCACTGCTGACACTGCAGATGTAGTATACACAGACTCCGCGGAAACCTTCGACAAGTGTGATTGTGGTACAATAGCGCACAAAATGCGAGATAAATAGATAACAGAAAAAGTGGGTAGATGGTCTTTCTAACCAATAGAACACAAGGAGTAATAATAACACAGAGTCAGAGGCGGCTATAGTGAAAATCTCTGTTCCACAAGGTACAGTACTCGTCCCCATCCTTTTCCTCATCCTCATATCTGGTTTTATTGTCTCTACTGTAATATACCTGTGACTGGTTTCAGTGTCACTACTGAGGCATACCCATGACTGGTTTCACTGTCACTACCGTGGTATACCTATGACTGGTTTCACTGTCACTATTGAGGTATACCGTGACTGGTTTAACTGCCACTACTGAGGTATACCCGTAACTGGTTTCAGTGTCACTATTGAGGTATACATGCGGCTGGTTTCACTGTCACTACTGAGGTATACCTGTGACTGGTTTCACTGTCACTACCGTGGTATACCTGCGGCTGGTTTCACTGTCACTACTGAGGTATACCTGTGACTGGTTTCACTGTCACTACCGTGGTATACCCGTGACTGGTTTCACTGTCACTACCGTGGTATACCCGTGACTGGTTTCACTGTCACTACTGAGGTATTCCCGTGACTGGTTTCACTGTCACTACTGAGGTATTCCCGCGAGTGGTTTCACTCTCACTACTGAGGTATACCTGCGACTGGTTTCATTTCCACTATCGAGGTATACCCGTGACTTATTTCACTGTCAGTACTGAGATATACTCGTGACTGATTTCGCTGTCATTACTGAGGTATACTTGTGACTGATTTCACTTTCACTATTCAGCTATACCCGTGACTGCATTCACTGCCACTACTGAGGTATACCTGTAAGTGGTTTCACTCACTACTGAGATATACCTGTGACTGGTTTCACTGTCAGTACTGAGGTATACCCGTGACTGGTTTTACTGTCGCTGAGGTATACCTGGGACTGGTTTCGCTGTCACTACTGAGGTATACCCGTGGCTTGTTTCAATGTAGCTTAAGCATACCTGGGACTTTTTTTCACTGTCACTACTGAGGTATACTTGTGACTGGTTTCACTGTCACTTCTGAGGTATACCTCTGACTGGCTTCCAGAGTTTTGAGTTCTCCGGCAGTATAGTGTAAAGCGAGCAACTCCTCCCGTGGTCCTGCAGGTTCGCATCACAACATCCTCCAGGAAGTTCAGTAATTCCATCTTGAAGTCTCGTACCTTAGGATAGGATTTCGTTCGGATTTTTAACCCCGGAGGGTTAGCCACCCAGGATAACCCAAGAAAGTCAGTGCGTCATCGAGGACTGTCTAACTTATTTCTATTGGGGTCCTTAATCTTGTCCCCCAGGATGCGACCCACACCAGTCGACTAACACCCAGGTACCTATTTGCTGCTAGGTGAACAGGACAAGAGGTGTAAGGAAACGTGTCGAATGTTTCCACCCGCCGGGAATCGAACCCGGGCCCTCCGTGTGTGAAGCGGGAGCTTTAGCCACCAGGCCACCGGTGGTGATAATATTGATATTGCTCTTGGGCTGTGTCATGCACGAGTTGGTATGAGAATTAAGAGATGTTTAACGATTAATATAAATGTTTAAGTTGATCATACGCTTTTCAGCGACTGTTGACTTGACTTAGAATGCAGTGGTGAAAGTAGGACAAGTACAGAGAGAACCAGCAGAGGTGAGTGAAAGTAACGCAGGTGCCAGTCCCCAGGAGTACATAAACAGTAGTAAGGAGAGAAAGAAAGTTTTTTGTAGTGACAGTAAAAGGCTGGGCTTTAAAGAAGCATGTCTGACGCCACTATTATTGTTCGGCTGTACGGTATTATAGATGAATTTAGAAGTATGTGTTAATATAAAGGGGATTGAGCATCACAGGAGGTAGAGAATTTAAGATATGAGTCGGCACGACTTGTCTGTAGATGGTTTAGTACCAGTGAGAGGTTATGAAGCTGCAGGTGCTGGCGAGTTTGAAAGAGCGTGGACAAGGGCACTCAAATTAAACTGAAAACAGCAAGTTGAAGGAAGGGCAGAAGGAGAACTAGTGAGAGTTCTGTATTGGAATATTTGAGAATTAATATATAAATGATAATATTTATATCAGCAGATGGATTTTGTATCTTCAGATGGATTTATATTAACATATGAATTTATATCAACAGCTGAATTTATATCAACAGATGTATTTGTATCAACAGATGTATTTGTATCAACAGATGTATTTGTATCAACAGATGTATTTATATCAACAGATGTATTTGTATCAACAGATGTATTTATATCAACAGATGTATTTGTATCAACAGATGTATTTATACAATCACGAGTATTTGTATCAACAGATGTATTTATTATCAACAGATGTATTTATATCAACAGATGTATTTATATCAACAGATGTATTTATATCAACAGATGTATTTATATCAACAGATGTATTTGTATCAACAGATGTATTTATATCAACAGATGTATTTGTATCAACAGATGTATTTATATCAACAGATGTATTTGTATCAACAGATGTATTTGTATCAACAGATGTATTTATATCAACAGATGTATTTATATCAACAGATGTATTTATATCAACAGATGTATTTATATCAACAGATGTATTTGTATCAACAGATGTATTTATATCAACAGATGTATTTGTATCAACAGATGTATTTATATCAACAGATGTATTTATATCAACAGATGTATTTATATCAACAGATGTATTTATATCAACAGATGTATTTGTATCAACAAATACAAAAAAGAGGTATTATACATCACGTTAACAAAAGAGGTTCTAAAGCTAAATTTTCAAAATGGCGAGCAGTGACCATCTTAGATTTATGCAAAATACCAGAGATGACCGAAGATAAAGACTTGGCCACGAAGCTTAATTTGTTGTTGGACTCCATTGGAAGACAAAGCCGTCAAAAACTAATTGGTCTGACTTCTGAGCGCTGGACGCACCAATAATTCGAAAGTCCGGTGATGATGGCATTGCAGTTCCGGAGTAAAAAGTTACACTTTTAGTCACTTACACGACTCCCATGTTTCTGTAGTGTGTATAATATGCTGTATATAATTAATAACTATTTTGAGAGTTCTTCCATTACAGTAGCTGTGCATGAAGCAAAATTTATTTGATGAGTTAGGCTCCATGTTTGCATCTCGGAAACCAACGATATAGGTAAAACAATTTGTCTCATCAAGCACCATTTGGGAGCTTCTATAAAATAAATACGTAAACTACATGTTCCCACATTGGTGAAGGATGAAAGTGTTTCTGTACACAGGTGCTACAGTCACATCGGTCGTGTGGGCGGGAAGCAGCTGGTGTCGCTGGGAATATTCTGTGTCAACTGGTGGAACTTGGGCACCGTTTACCACGAGCTCTTCCATACACTGGGTTTCTACCACGAGCACACCCGGCCAGATCGAGACTACTACATCGAAGTAATGTGGAACAACATCGCCGATGGTCAGGCTCAGAACTTCCTCAAGCGTTCCTTCAACTCCGTCGCCCTTACTGACATGCCTTATGATATAAGTGAGTGTCATTGTTATGTGTAGCAGATGTTGAGTGCTAATGTATGTGTAGCAGATGTTGAGTGTTATTGTAAGTGTAACAGATGTTGAGTGTTACTGTAAGTGTAGCAGATGTTGAGTCATTGCAAGTGTAGCAGATGTTGAGTTATTGTAAGCGCAGCAGATGTTGAGTGTTATTGTAAATGTAAGAGATGTTGAGAGTCATTAGTGAGTTTTATAAGCAATTGGAGAACACAGAGTTTTAGGTGAGTAGAGGCGTGAAATACACTGCGAGATATTAATCAAGACTCAAACTTGACGATTCATAAGAATATACACTTGCCTTATCCCGGATAAGACTAGTGAATATATGATAATCCTGTGGATTATCTCATCCCTGACATGAGGATTATCTAATCCCTGACCTGAAAACCATGTTATCCCAGACCTCAGGTTTATGTTATCCCTGACCTGAGAACCATGTTATTTCTGTCCTGAGGACCATGTTATCCCTGACCTGAGAACCATGTTATCCCTGACCTGAGGACCATGTTATCTCTCACTTAAAGACAATTTTTTCCCTGACCCAAGAACCATGTTATTTCTGACATGAGGACCATGTTATCCCTGACATGAAGACAATGTTATCCCTGACTTGAGGACCATGTTATCCCTGACCTGAGAACAATGTTATCCCTGACCTGAAGACCATGTTATCCTTGATCTGAGGACCATGTTATCCTTGATCTGAGGACCATGTTATCCCTGACCTGAGGACCATGTTATCCCTGGCCTGAGGACCATGTTATCCCTGACCTGAGGACCATGCTATACCTGACCTGAGGACCATGTTATCCCTGACCTGTTGGTAGTGAGATACGTATTAAAGGTTCATAAAAGTTCGCAGCTATCTCAGAAACTGAACACTGAATATGAGTGACGTTTTCGACGGTCCTGGACCATGAAGCCGTTGCTTGATAGTGGACCAGGAAGGAGGAACCAAAACGTCGTTGGGTCTTCCTTTTCAAATATGAGATTCATTGAGAAGTTTTTCAACCTACCAATCAGGGTAGGCCCACTGTCGTGCTCCTACATTTTTAGTATGGGTCAGTAGGCCCACTGTCGTGCTCCTGCATTCTTAGTATGGGTCAGTAGGCCCACTGTCGTGCTCCTGCATTCTTAGTATGGGTCAGTAGGCCCACTGTCGTGCTCCTGCATTCTTAGTATGGGTCAGTAGGCCCACTGTCGTGCTCCTGCATTCTTAGTATGGGTCAGTAGGCCCACTGTCGTGCTCCTGCATTCTTAGTATGGGTCAGTAGGCCCACTGTCGTGCTCCTGCATTATTAGTATGGGTCAGTAGGCCCACTGTCGTGCTTCTGCATTCTTAGTATAGGGTCAGTAGGCCCACTGTGGGTGCTTCTGCATTCTTAGTATGGGTCAGTAGGCCCACTGTCGTGCTCCTGCATTCTTAGTATGGGTCAGTAGGCCCACTGTGGTGCTTCTGCATTCTTAGTATGGGTCAGTAGGCCCACTGTCGTGCTCCTGCATTCTTAGTATGGGTCAGTAGGCCCACTGTCGTGCTTCTGCATTCTTAATATGGGTCAGTAGGCCCACTGTGGTGCTTCTGCATTCTTAATATGGGTCAGTAGGCCCACTGTGGTGCTTCTGCATTCTTAGTATGGGTCAGTAGGCCCACTGTCGTGCTCCTGCATTCTTAGTATGGGTCAGTAGGCCCACTGTCGTGCTTCTGCATTCTTAATATGGGTCGTAGGCCCACTGTGGTGCTTCTGCATTCTTAATATGGGTCAGTAGGCCCACTGTCGTGCTTCTGCATTCTTAATATGGGTCAGTAGGCCCACTGTGGTGCTTCTGCATTCTTAATATGGGTCAGTAGGCCCACTGTGGTGCTTCTGCATTCTTAGTATGGGTCAGTAGGCCCACTGTCGTGCTCCTGCATTATTAGTATGGGTCAGTAGGCCCACTGTCGTGCTTCTGCATTCTTAATATGGGTCAGTAGGCCCACTGTGGTGCTTCTGCATTCTTAATATGGGTCAGTAGGCCCACTGTGGTGCTTCTGCATTCTTAATATGGGTCAGTAGGCCCACTGTGGTGCTTCTGCATTCTTAATATGGGTCAGTAGGCCCACTGTGGTGCTTCTGCATTCTTAGTATGGGTCAGTAGGCCCACTGTCGTGCTCCTGCATTCTCAGTATGGGTCAGTAGGCCCACTGTCGTGCTTCTGCATTCTTAATATGGGTCAGTAGGCCCACTGTGGTGCTTCTGCATTCTTAATATGGTTCAGTAGGCCCACTGTCGTGCTTCTGCATTCTTAATATGGGTCAGTAGGCCCACTGTGGTGCTTCTGCATTCTTAATATGGGTCAGTAGGCCCACTGTGGTGCTTCTGCATTCTTAGGTTCTTATGTTCTTGCCTTCTCTTACAGAATCAGTTATGCACTACAGTCCCTTTGCCTTCGGCAAGTGGTCCTTCCTCACCCCCACCATCAGATCCAGACGCATCGGCTACAGCTTCCTCAGGGCAGGAGTGCCATCTAAGGTTAGAAAAACTTAGTTATTAAAGTTTACATTATCATCTAAGCAAGTAACAATATTTCCTGTCATATATCTTGATCTTAAGTGTCACCACAAGACCCACTATCCTCCTCCTAATCCAGAATCAATGAATAATTGTAAATAATTTAAAAAGTGGCAGTAATAAAGTAATGATTTTACTAGCAAAATTCTTATTATTATTATTATTATTATACATTTTTATTAAACCTTATTATTATTTATTATGCGTAATCACAGAGCACATACAAGGGCGTTATTTTTATATTATTCTTATTATGTGTTACGCTTTTGACTGTGTAATGTAATAAAAGTCGTGGCTCCTGAATGGTAAACTACCTGCCTAGTATAAGGGCATATATATTATTTAAAATAGAAAAAGAAACCACTCTGGGCCAGCTTGTACCTTCACACTAAATGTGGAGACAATATTAAATTTATTATAAGGACACAAAAACTCACAATATATATATATATTATATAATATATATATAATATATATATTATATATATATATATTATATATATTATAAACACTGATCTCTGGCTGAAGGAGACTCGAACCTACGAACCTTGGAACAAGGTACGAGGTGCTTTACCAATCTACCCACCCTGGACCAATACCTTGGAGTCCAGTTTGCGCTAGACTTTGATCCAAGGCGCTCTTGCGAATTCCTTGCTTGTTTAATATCTTAGCAAGGTGATGCATGCAGGGGATGAGATGAAAGTTGTATATTATATATATATATTTATATATATATTTTATATATATATATATATATATATAATATATATATATATATATTATATATTTTATATATATATATTTTAATACATATTAAACTTACATAAACAGCATACAACCTATTCTATATACAAAATAACAGCCCGGTGGCCTGGTGGCTAAAACTCCCGCTTCACACACGGAGGGCCCGGGTTCGATTCCCGGCGGGTGGAAATTCCGACACGTTTCCTTACACCTATTGTCCTGTTCACCTAGCAGCAAATAGGTACCTGGGTGTTAGTCGACTGGTGTGGGTCGCATCCTGGGGGACAAGATTAAGGACCCCAATGGAAATAAGTTAGACAGTCCTCGATGACGCACTGACTTTCTTGGGTTATCCTGGGTGGCTAACCCTCCGGGGTTAAAAATCCGAACGAAATCTTATCTTATCTTATCTTGTCATTACACCTTCAGGAAATTTCCGCGCGCGCTCACCCAAAAATAAAAAAATTATGGAAATTGAGTTATATATACCGAAAAATAGCTTAACTCTTTGGCAACACAATAGTACCAGAATGAATGTTCTACGACGTTTCTACAAGAAATTATAGTCATTTATATCAGGTATGGTGACGGCGATGTGGGGAGCGAGTCTGCTCACAGTCTATATATTTTTTGGAAATTTTTCCTTGTTTTTTATCTCTTTTTCTTGCATTATTCTTTCTAATATAATAACTGACTATTTGGCATCATAAAACAGTAGGCGGAGCTTATCCGTAGACTTAGAGCCAACTAGGCACCATATGGGAACGCTCGGCTCCAGAGAGTGCCAGTAGAAATCACTTCATTATTACGCTTATATCAGCTTATATATCAACTCTACGGCTTATTTATCTATCAGAATTGATCTAATATGATATAATAAACACTATAAATAACATACAAACATGTTATATACTCTAGACTGAATAAAATAGGCCATAATATGGCGAGAGATTATCGTGAATATTTCGATATATATGAGTTACTCCTCTCCATGCCGTCTTTGAGTAAGAGAAAACGGTGTTTTGAAGAGGATAACTGCACTAGAACATCAGTTTACTAAGAAATACACCCAAACAAACGCGATTTTCGCGATTTTTTTTTTTTTTTTTGAGACGTGGGGCCGGCCGGCGCTCCAGGCCGATATCTCGCAGGTAACTTATTCACCTAAATTCCGTAATTCTTCCTTTATTACTTAATTAAATGGAATAATATTCACAGAAATTGTAGAATAATGATTTCTCTATTTTGCCCCATTTCATTTTTGGAAATATTCCAAATACTTTCGGAGTTATGTGGGAGTAAAGGGCAGATTTTTTTTGCAACATTCCAGGAACTAACAAACTTTATTTTTTTGTGAAATAAAGATAAGTTATTTAGAAGCAAGATTTTTGGAGTAAATACGTATAAGCATTGTTCTATCGGCACCAAGTGTTCAAACAACCTTACGTAGTCCCACATAGGAATAAATTTGGGCACAAGGGCATTTTCAGTAAATCAGTCTTTTCTCAGTTGTTGTTTGAGGTATATTTTTGAACATCAAAATGGTATACAATACCGACAGGTTGTTAGGTAAGACACATATGCAACAGTTAGACAACTTTATTCCGAAACGTTTCGCCTACACAGTAGGCTTCTTCAGTCGAATACATCTCTACTGTTCCTGCCTACTTTCTGTATTCGACTGAAGAAGCCTACTGTGTAGGCGAAACGTTTCGGAATAAAGTTGTCTAACTGTTGCATATGTGTCTTACCTAACAACAGGTATATTTTTGATAAATATTTTCAATAAAGAGTGAAAACACTTTGTCTTGTGCACCAAAACTGGAGGAAATCGGACGGTAAACAAAAGAGTTACAATTTTTGCCCAACGCCCCCCTTCACTTACACACATTAGGTCACCAGCACACTTCTACCAGTGAGTACAGAACATGACACCCGGTGGCCTGGTGGCTAAAGCTCCCGCTTCACACACGGAGGGCCCGGGTTCGATTCCCGGCGGGTGGAAACATTTCGACACGTTTCCTTACACCTGTTGTCCTGTTCACCTAGCAGCAAATAGGTACCTGGGTGTTAGTCGACTGGTGTGGGTTGCATCCTGGGGGACAAGATTAAGGACCCCAATGGAAATAAGTTAGACAGTCCTCGATGACGCACTGACTTTCTTGGGTTATCCTGGGTGGCTAACCCTCTGGGGTTAAAAATCCGAACGAAATCTTATCTTCTACCGGCTCTTAGCCTGCTAGCAGTACTCTGTACATGAGTTCTCTCCCCAAAACTTAAACAGGCCACTGCACACAAGGGCCTTACAGGTAAACATGAGAGCACCAAAAACCAATGAAATAACCTATGGTGTAAACACACAAAAAATCACCATCCCTACAAACACCAAACCCTGACGTCTTAGTGCATCTTGCTGCAGCTGCTGTGCTCCACCTACTGACTCAAAACACACCTCACTCCTCTCCTGGCCGCTCTGATGGCCAGGAATAATACTTCTGGTTTCAGAACAATTCCTGGAAACTGACATATAGAGCATTTTTTTATATACAATATTTACCAATACACTGCGTAATACCCGCCTCCCCTAGACCACCGGTCTCACTCAGCTAGCTGGATCCAGTCGGCTGTAACTAGTCAAGGGAAAAAAATGGGAAATTAACCTTAGGTCTGGGGAAACAAAATTCTCCAAAAATAAGAAAACTGCATCAAGCACTGTCTTGGTGCAATTTACTTGTACATAGAAAAACACAATAAGCATTTATCACCTTAAAGGTTATCTCTACAATGAGCACTGCTAATCCGCAGATGTGTGAAACTCGTTTGACGTAAAAGTGATGGGGTTTTATGCCAAATGAGCTACAGTCATGCTTTATATCTGTACTTAAACATAAACAGGAAAATGCACCATTACAACTCAGTGTTGGCCAAACACCTACAGTGATGCATTTTCTAATCATGACATAAAATTAAAGAGCTGACTGGTTTACCTTTCTATATATTAATTACATAAAAAGTATACACAATAATTATATATAAGTAAATTTATGAATTGAGAAAGTCTCTCTTTAAACAGCATAGTGTTCATTATCATACACCGGGTTTAAATATTAAATAAGACTTCAAAAAAAATAAAAACAAATTCCCAAAATATGCAAAAAATTAGTGTACATTTATACAAAAGAAAATTATATTCCAACCCCCCGGGTCTCACAGAATGGCAATAACAAAACGGGCTATGCAAACACACCAGGGGAGAAATTAGAGACTTCTTTTAAATTAAATTTCAAAGTTTATTTTTATAAGTTACAATGAGGTTTACAAATTTGGTTTTTGGGGTTTACATTAGTAAAATAATAATACAGAGTTACCAAAACATGGCTGGGCATTTCGGGCAACTTAATTAATTCTTAAAAAAATTTAAAATATAAAATTATGAGGTAATTGGTTTTTAGGGCTAAGTACTAAATACTATTTGGAGTTTACAAGTAATGCTTTGTTTTTGGCACAGTACATAGTTCAGTATTGGAGTTAAGGGCCCAACTTATACTTTTTGGATTCATTATTTTAAGATTGAAAAAATATTTTTTTTTTTATGGTCAAATAAAGGGTGGTGAGTGTAAGTGTGAACCACCGGGGTGGTTTTTGGGGTTTAGTTACGGGGTTATAGGGGAAAAGATTTTTTTCAAATGGTTTTTTGAAGGTGATAAATGTGTCTGCAGTTTAGAGTTTCGTAGGGTGTTCCAGTTTTTAGGGCCTTTGAAAAAACATTAAATTTTTTGAAAAGGTTTAGTGGGCACGGGGAATTCGTGAGATGTTTGTGTTGGTGTTATGCTGGGGGGTTCTGCCAACTACAAGAAAGATTTTTAGGTAAAGGGTTGATATTGGATTTTAAGGTCCTTAGTTTAAATTGCACAGTAGAAAGGTTGGGTACTGAACAGGGAGTAATTTAAATCTATAAGAGGGGGGGGTTTTGTTTGCCGGGGAAGGGTTTTATGTTATTTTTACTGCACTTTTTTTTGGGGTTTATTATTGGTTCGGGGTGTATTCGCTTTTGATCCCCAAGCCAAATAGCGGGTGAGGTATGGAAAATAATTAGGGGTATGTTGAAAGGGCATTTTGCGGCACATAGTATCGTATTTTAGGGGACCCCAAACCCTTTTTTGGGATACTTTTTTGGTTATTTTTGGGTTTGGGTGTGAAATTCGGGTTTTTGAAAG